TGTAACGGAGTGTTCAACACAGCTGAATACCTAAGGGGTGTTGATTGTGTCCGTCTGTCAGTCATCCATCTATCCATTTTCTTCTACTTATCTGGTGGGCCAGGTTGCATGGGCAATAACCTAAGTAGAGAAACCTAGACCTCCCTCTCCCCAGCCAACTCCCCGAGCTCACCTGTGGGAACACAGAGATGTTCCCGAGCCATTCGAGTGATATGTGTCCTGTGTCTACCCCAAGGCCTAATCCCTGTATGACATGACCAGAACTCCCGCAGGAGGTACCCAGGAGGCATCCTTGTCAGTTGCCCTAACCATCTCAGCTGGGTCCTTTCAAAATGGAGAAGCAACTCCACTCTACACTGACGCTCTCCCGAATGACTGAATCGAAGGAAGTGACAAGCCTCCAGTCAGAGAAAGTTCATTTCTCCTGCTTAAATCCACAATCTTTCTTCAATCACTACCCAAAGCTCATGACCACAGGTAAGGGTAAGGATGTGGATTGAGAATCTGTACAGGGCTAAAAAATGCAATAAATATTTGATGTTGTGACCATTTCGCCAGCCTATACGACAGTAAACATAGTTTGAAACTACAAATTGTAACCCTAAACTTATTAGGAAACGCTAAGTGAGAATTACAGTCGGGGCAGAGCATAAACAAGTAAATTAATAAATAACAACACTTAACCAATTTCAGGAAAATCCATTTATGTTTTTGTGCCAGAAGGGAGGGAAGAAAAAAATTGGCTAACATAACAGAATATTAGGTTTTTATATCACCAAATATTTGTATTAGTTTTAAAACTCCTTTATTAGTCATGCTGTAAATTTAACCTTAGAGGTTCTCATTCCCATTCTGACGAGCACTCTGTTCACCATGTGGGGCAACTTGAGTTAAGCAACTTTCCCAAGGACACTTTGGGATGTGTTAGGTGGCAAATCTCGAGAAAAAAAAAATACCCCAATGCAAAACATTATTCCCCTCTCTCTGACCAAGCTTTTTAATATCGGAATCATACATCTTAATATGAAAGAAAATCAATTGTTGGCTAAATAAAACAAGGTTCTCTGAACACCAGCAAGTTTGTTTTACTGTGTCTTGTTTATACACTACACCAGCAAAAGTCATTAATCTTAATAGTGCTGCTACCAATGACATTTCTTACATGTAATGAGAATGGGAAGACAATCTTAAAAAGCTCAATCACATTTTTCATATGACTAAATCAGCCCATTTATTTTGTAAAATTGCATTTCACCAGCAGCCCAAGGTCTTCCTGTAGTATGCATAACAAGCTCGCTTAGTGTGGTATGTGCTCGTTCTGGGACTCCAATTACCGAGCATCCTGGAATACGTTTGGCATTTGTCTCTTCCTTGCTGACATTCAGTTCGAGTTTATAAGGCGCTTCATTCATTCCATCTATGATTTTTTTTGTTTTGTTTTGGCATCCACAGTAAATGCAGGAATGTAATTTTCATCCATCCATTTCACAAACTGCTCATCTTGTTCAGGGCTGGACAGGTCGCCAGTATATCACAGGGTAAAAAAATATAACATTCTCAGACAAGAGAACACATTCAAGTATGTATGAACATGGAAAAAGACAGAGAGAATTTCTCAATACAAAACTAGTTGTGAAACTGAGGGGGAAAGCATTTTAAAATAGGATTCTTGCACCTTTATAATTCTTCTTAAAATCAAAAAATGAGAATTCATATTGAACAATGATGAGATTGTATAATACATTTTGGACATTTTATAAAATATCAGTTTATATCAGTAACGTAGTAGTTACTGATATAAACTATGAGAGAAAAGCTGTTCATCAGTGCAATAATATCTACAGCAATATTTGAGAATTTCTTTATCGCACATGACAGTAAAGTCTTGTATTTTGAACTGTTGCTCAGACAAACCAAGGATTTTGAAGACACTTTTACCACTTTGATCTGTGCTTTAACTATTTGCACTATTTAGAGCTTCTACTGGTATACCTACACCAAACTGTTCGGTTTTTAAGATAAAAGCTACAACTGCAAAAAAAGTCAAATTCAACTTCTGGATCTGTATTTTTTCGTATTCTTATGATTATGTTCAACATATTTTCTATACATTACAATTTGTCAGATTTACTGTGCATTACCATGACTTTATGTATTAGAACAACATCAATCAGTACAACACATTAAAGAGTCACAATTAAAAAGCATGGGGTTTTTCCTGTTATAACCATGTTTGTGGATAATATTAGACTTTGTTGTTGTATTTTAGTGGATCTGTAGAAAACCCAGAGATAAACAGTGGCATCTTTAAAATACTCTACTCTAGCATATTTATTTTCTGTGAGGGTAAAGCTGAATAATAAACACACTTTTTCATCTGTTTTAGTATACAGGAAGAGTCGGTGTGGCTTCTGTTAATTAAAGTAAGAAATATCAAGTTATATTTGTGAAGGAAACATTAATTAGGTAAGTGCCCCGCTCCAGATGTCTGCCCTGTAACTACATCTTAAAACTAATAAATGTATGTGATTGCTGGTTACCTCAAAGTTGACCAAGTGACATGAAACCACAACAGCTTTATAAACTAAATTTGGTGGGGGGGACTTTTATTCTGATCTTGACTTGCTAGATGTCTATTCAATCCGTTAATTTTGATGTAGCTTCTAAAACTGGGCCTTTTAATGCTAAATCAACCTCAGTTTCACAATAACGAGAAGGCTCCAATGTACATGGTGATACTTGAATAATTTATGATTTTCCCTACAGTTTGCTTGCCTTCTCGTTATCGCGGCTGGAAATGAGTTTGCTGAAAACTGGCCAAAGTGAGAGCTCCCCTCTCGGCTTACAGAACATGGTGCATTAAAGTGAATCACAGCAGACAGCTGGGGCCGCCCTTTATGGTAATGCACCCTCTACAATTACTGCTTCGACCTTCCCTGGCAAGGAAAAATGGGGAGACGTCCATTTAGCGCCCCTTTCAAACACTTAGTGGCAGGCATGTTGGGCAGCAGGACCACCTTTTGCCTGACATTGACTCTTGTTTAGAGGAGAAAGAGAAGACATTAGAAAGGTGACGGGTTGACAGATGAGATGTATCTGTCAACCAGCAAGAAGAGCATGGTGCATTAATGCATCACCACTGTCCAGATCCACAGAGGTAGTTGAAGCTGGTTGGAGATAATAGTGCCAACTACTGCTGCAACTATCAGTTTTTCCTACCATTTTATAGAAACCCAGTTCCAAAAAAGGTTGAGACACGGTGGGAAATGTACGTAAAAACAGAATGCAATATGTACAGGTTGCACCTCCATCCCATCAGAGATGCAGGTTTTTTAAGTTAGCACTGATAACAACCTGGATGGTTCCTCTCCTCGTTGGTCTTGAGAATGCAACATGCATGTTTTTCCAAAGAGAATTTCAAATTTCGATTTGTCTGACCAAGAGAAAAGTTTTCAACTTTGTCACAGTCCACCATAAATGAGCATAAATAAAGATAAAGATATTATAGTGCAGACTATGTAAAGACTGCACAATAGTAAGTGTTTGTGGGGGGGGAGGAGCAAATGAACAGAGCCACACATTAAACTCAAATGAACATTATCGATGCAATAACTGGTTAATATGCTGTGTGTGTGTGTCCTGAGTACATTTAAAAAAAATTACATTTAAAGTTAAGGTTATCCAACTTTTTTTAGGTTGCTGGACCTTCACGGCACAAATTTTTTTGTTAAAGCTGAGAACGACTGCATTTGGTGTGCTCTGCGCTGCATTTTTAACTTGTTCACGCGGGTCCTTGTTATGGAAATATAATTCAATCACTTTCATGGACTGAGCATATCAAGAGTAACATATCTCATTGCACAAAAACACCCAGCTGAAAGTAAAGTATGAGAAAACCTCCCGTTATAGACGCTGAAGGGTATAACCATTTAGTGCTCACTTAAGCTGCTTTCAAGCATGCAATGCAGCACTGAACTTTTATAGATATTACTCAGCTGAGCTGTATGTAACATGTCTGATTCAAACAGTCATCTTAGCTACCCGTTGATCTGCATTCCCTTCCTTGTATTTACTACTCACCACACCACACCACACCACCGCTTCCCTAAACCCTTCCTGACTATATACATTTGTGGACTATCCTTTTTATGTGGTACATGTGTGAAAAGGTAACCTCAGACCTAATTCTCCTGGCATTGCAGGAGGTTAAATGAGTGAAAAATGTCTATAGTATAATGTGAAAAAACCCTCTATATACTGGTGAAAAAAAACTATTTTGAGCAGATACAAAACATGTTGGCAGAGGGTCTGCAAAATGTCTCCAAACAAAAACTTGAAAACATGTTTTCATGCAGCTGACGAAGTTTAGGTTGAGGTCTACTTTTTTTTTCAACATTTGTACAAGCTTAGTCAGAATTCATAGTATTACAATTAGACACAGGCATTTCAAGCAAAAAAAATACCAACCAGATTTCTTGCACACAGACCTGATAACTTCAGTTTTTGAAGGAATCCAAACAGAACTTTTTAATTGCTGTTGTCTTTGGATTTTCGTCTTTCTGTTTGCGTTCAGAACGACGACTTTTATCAGTTTGGTGTCTGATGATAGTTTTGTTATTTAATGGCTGCTGGCTACTGTATATTTTAGTTTAGTAACATAAAATATTCATTTAGGGTTTAAATATATCTTGATAAGTGAAAAGTCAAGCTTTGTACAAGAATGTGACCATTGCATGAAATCTTTTTGGTGTAGGAGATAAAATTTTAGAAAGAGGAGATGAGAGAGTGTTATGCTCCCAGTAGGTTTCTTATTGTGGTGTTTTTGATCAAATGTGCTCTTTTTTTGTCTTTTAGTTAAAAAAAAAAGGCTACATAAATATTTTATACTACAAAAAAGCAAAAGTGCTTCACTTAGGCTGTAGCTTCAACAACCCCTCCCCTTGTACACAACATGTTGACATACAGGAAGGAAGAAGGAGGAATCAAAGGCAGAAACTCACCTTTTATTCTCAGGTTCTCTGGAACGCCATCCTGTTGGAAAAGCAAAAAAGAAAACAGAGATAAGATCTATGAGATCAAAACTTACCAACATTAAGGTAAATGAGTGCAGTTACATGTCCTTGTATTAGATGAATGACATTCTGTAGTTCATTCAGTATATTAACATTCTTCTGAAAAATGGTGTTTCACATCTCAATGCAATCATCACACAAAGCCTAAGGACTTCATTCTGAATGCAAGAACTCTGAATGTCTGAATGTTAAATAATATTGCATAAACAACCCAAACAACAGTGTACCTTTACACGGCAATTTGACTCACTTACATGGATAACAGACAAACCTTAAGCTCTGAGATTTTATTTACTTACATATTATTTAATACATATTATTGACTTCGTCTTGCTTTTAGTCATTAGATATGTTTCTTTAGCTTCTGATATCTATTTACATCTATTTAGATCATCGTATCCAAGTGTTTTAACTTTCTTTTTTGAACAAGTTAACCAAATTAGTAGTCCAGATGCTTCTTCAATTGACAAATAAATGCATAAATGTAGTGTAACAGAAAAAAATATGCAGTAAAAAAAAAAGAAAAAGAAAAAACATATTACAAATATACCAAAGAGCAAACAACTAGGACCTTCTGAGTAGCCGTGCTTTAACAGATTTGCATGCTTATTGAGCATAGTTGTAGAAAATGCTGCTATCAGGACTACTATTCTAAGTAACTGCTCTCCAGAAACCATGAATGCGAAAGAAAGAGGCATAAATATTTGATTTCTCTACAGTGAAATCTGCATAGCTCATCCTTCTCGTTCTTGTACAGAAAAATCAGATTCTCTTTCTAGCAGCTCAAGCTGGGTAGCATTATGAGGAAGATGCATTATGCAATGGGTCTACAGTCAATAATGAACTGTGGTCCCTGAATGCATGAAGAAAACAGCAGTTTACCCATTTTCTCAGTTTGCACAGAAATTGACCTACTGTGCATTTTCTTCCTAATGCGCTATTAATTACCTGTCAATTAAAAAACAGGATATTATGCACTTAATGTGTTTTAAAGATATATGGGTAAGCATATCCAAGAGATGTGACTTTAAATATCAATTCTGACTGAAGGAGTAGCACAGCTTATCTTGCTTCCTGGGTACCATGTGTATACATTTGACATTGTCATATTTTTATTTAGACTATACTGGGTCTGTACATACTGAGCCCTGCTGTTAATGAAATCCCTAGCCCACACAAAAGAACATCCACATGATTGATAATCTAATAAATATTGATATAGTGATTTATTGTAAACAATATCTAAAAAGGTTAACTGATTTTTATTAAAAAATAATAAACACATAATACATACACATTAAAAAAGTGTGAAAAACAATTACATTTTCTTAGTTCTTAATTATAATGACAAAATATTAATGTATAAATATCAATAGGAACACATAACACATGTAACTGTACCAGTAATTACCAAAAATTATTAACTTAGTGTTTAGTGGTTACTATTAACTGCACAGTTTCTTTACCATGTTTATTTCAAAGCGCTAGCAGTGGGTCCAAGTTTGATTTTACCCTGGTATGTTTCCAGAATTTGCAATCCATGCGTTCCTAATGACAATGGTCTTCAAGATATACCACAAATGTCAGCCTTCTCTTTGTGAAAGTTGAGGATGAATACATAACTCTGACAGTCCCCAATGTGGCTATGACATTATATGAAAAATCCATCACGTGGTTTCTTCGATGCGCAGGCACATCACCCAGCAATCACTAAAGCTCAAGTTAAACATTGTGATGTGGTAACAGCTTTCTCTGCTCATCATCTTTCCGGATGTTTCAGGAAACACTGCTGACCATCAGATACAAATCAGAGAAAACACCTGTGGCTCTCTGACATTCTTTGTATAACCCTCCCACCAAACAGACACACACACATACACACACACTAGAGGAGCTGACATTTCGAATTGCACTACAGGTAGGGAAGATATCAAATAGGGCTTATTTGCATATAGCAGACAATGTTCACACTTTATTCGTTTGAAGAGAGTGATTTCTCCTGAGCCACTGGCAGGCCTGTCTCTTCTGCCCCGAGACTCCGGGGACAGTGAAGCACCCAGCTGTACAACTCGTGCTTCATCTGCTCCTGTCACAGCTAGCTGGCTGACCGCCTACATCTATCTCTCTTTCTCCCCTTTTTGTGTTTCTCACTGTCTCTCAACCATCCTCACTCCACCAGCAACACCTCCCCCTTGTCTTTTCTTTCTCCCGCTTCAGATCTCACAAACCTTACTTCTCCAGACCACCAACTTCCAGATACACTCCATCTGGAAACATATGACAACAAATTGCAACATACCAGTATGACAAGTGACCAGAATACGGTACGCAGTACTATTCCTTATGAGCAAGACTGGTTTATTTGTTTGACCAATAGAGAAGAGTGACAAAACAACAGAGCTGAATCCAATTTTTGCCAGGGCTGATGTAAGGTCATCCAACAACAATGTACACAGGTAAACAAAAACAGACATGTGCATATTCCAGTACATTATTTTAAATTCCATGAATTGAGAGTCATTCTTTTTCCTTAATATGCTGTAATGTAATGCACAGATCCAGCACCTGTACCTTGCTAGAATTATGCACAGTATCTGTATCTGCAACAGCATGCCCAGACAAATAAATACTTAAATTTCTAACAAATGCTTCACACGGTCAAGAAGTTCAAGAAAACAAATGTGTAATTTAGCCTCTTTGCATCATAACACCGTTGCTGTCTTTTCATGGTTTATCCGTTTATAATTGTCTGTGGGTAGCTGTGTTCAAACTGTTTCTGACAAAGGATGGTGGGGCCAGTAGTTGTATTGCTAAGACTCATCATGTTGACAAGTAACAACTATTAATAAATAAACCAAAAGAACAGGGAAAATAACCATGTAGCAGAAAGACTTTGAAAACCACAGGTCAACACATTGTTGTTGTTCTAGTAGACTGGCTCCGTACAGCATCTCTGCCTTTTCGGCCCCTGCGGAGACGATACAAAAGCTGGTTACCTCAGTTTCGGGCTGGCTGCCATTTGAAAGCAGACAGCTCATCAAGATGAGTGACAAGGGTTGGGGCTCAAACTGACCAGCTGAGGAGGAGAGGGAGGAGGAGGAAGACGAAGGGGGAAATAATACTGACAGAAGTCACGTTTAGGCCAAATGTTGCCTGTTGCAGCTTTAACTGACGCTACTGTACAACAAGCTGTTTCTTGTGAATTTTGCTGTTCAATCTTGTTGTTCCTCCCATTCCCCGTCTCTTTATCTCAATCTAATTTGCCCACCACCCCCACTCCCTCTCTCCCTCTCTCTCTCGCTCTGCTTATCCCCTGTTAATCTAGATTTGCCATGTGGCCAAGCCAGTGCAGGATGGATGGGGCTTTGCACACACAGTTGTCCTTGCTTCCATTTTGTTTGTCCTGACATAACAGCTTGATGTCAAAGCGACAAAAACTCACAGAAATTGCTGTAGTCCCTCATGCTGAGCAAGCCTGGCACTTCTACGTGATTTTCACAAATTGCACACTGAGCCCTCCATCATTCTTACAATTAAACTCTTCATGTTAGACCTTGGCTGAAAGATCTCAAAGTATCAGGAGATTAAGAGTAGCAACAACCACCACTTTAAATGGCGTATGCAATAAAACCCATAATAACTACAGGCAGGGATCCGTGTCCTATACCTGACCCCATGTAAAGGATTTCACAGTGAATTTCTGAAACAATGCCATGGGAATTACACATGGGAGTAGAACACGTGACCAGCTGTTTATGACCACGTGGTGACTGAACTCTTTGTGAGGAAAGCTTATAAGGTTGTGTCCGATCACGTTACCCAAGCCAAATGCTGTCCTTCGAAGCACAGGAAAAGACATCGAATCAACCTTCCCAGCTTGAAGCAAAGCACAGTTCGCTATTTTCCATCCCTATATTTCACTGCTAGAGCTTTAGTTTTTTTTTTTAAAAATGAGGCACATTAGAGAATATGAAATTGTTATTTTATCTCATTGACTTTATCATCTACTTTTAAACTGTACTTTTATTTTGAGCCGACTATGTTTTTCAACTTGATATTACTTCTCCACAATAATTCACTTTGAAACAACTGTTAACACAGCTCGCTCAGCTTTATTGACAAGAGCATGACCCGAGTCTCTCTGCAGTCCAGACAAGAGCTGAGAAATTCTCTAAGCAACAAAAAGGCCAATGACATAATTTGAAAAAGGGCTTACTTTTGGCTTTTTTTCCACCAAAGGGCTGTAAATTTCCACAGTCTCATTTGACAGGCAGATAGATGAGTGCAGTTTACCTCTGTCCTCTCGCAAGACGAATTGTAATGGTATGCAGATGCTGTAATGACATTCCTCTGAGATGTAATCACAGCGCCTGGCACATTAATTTCACTGGAGTGGAAAAGCACATATATCATTTTTGTGGCTTCTCGTCAGATTTCCGCTACATGTGGGTATACATTACCTTAATTATTAAAGTCACTGCAGTTCCAAACCACACTAGCGAAAAGAGACAAAGTCTAAACCAGTTAGTTTCAATAAGAGATAATGTACTGCTGAATACAATAAAGAAAAAAGCACCATGCAGCTTCAAAATGTACTGGTGGTTAGATTAAAAGTACTTAAAGAAAATATGTCTGCCTTATTCACATGGTGCTGCAAAACATTGGAAAGTACACTCTCTTCAGTACAAGAGAGAGTAATGGGAAAGTAGAAATACTGGACTGTGTTGCAGTGGAGAGATTAAAGAGACACTACAAGTGAAAAGGGTCATATTCATTACAACTAGATATCACTGAAACACTTGCATTTTATTACTTACATTAACATTTCTTAATATTTAAAGGAAGTGTTTACCACTGATTTATTATCTGCTTATGACATGTGTAACTCTTTTTTTTTTAGCCAAAACTAGGAAAGAAACAAATTTCCAACAAGGCAAAGAAATTTGTTGTTTGCATATTGTTTTATCAGAATTAATGGAAGTGCTGAGGTCGAGCTAGATCACTATGTACATAGATTAATTCTTACTGCAGTGCTCTGGGTTGCTCTCCACCCTGAGCCCTTTGCTGGCGTCATTCCTTCTTCCCTTTCCTTCCTGTCTCTCTCCTTTATTATCCAATGTTGTCAAAAAAAACAAAAAACAGCCCAGTAGCACTGTTGGATTGAACTCCAGCAGATTAAATGCATCTTAACAGAGTGTATTTTTGTTTCCTCCACTCAAACTGAAAAATTATATTTTTAAAATGAAACAGCATCAAGCCATTCCCAAGGTAAGATGAGGTAACTCTGGATTATTCACAGGCCCAGATAGAAGTAAGCTCCACTTTTGGATTTTACATTCGCTGCAAAAAGAGGAATGGATTAGACAATATTTTTATTTTTTTCATTTTATTCCAAATGTAACTAGTGCATAAAATAAGCATCTTATCAAGCCCTCAAAAGTAAATCTTATAGATTTAGGTGCCTGGAAGCCACTCTGCCTACTTGTTGATATTTTTGTTCTTAACAATGAGTCTGGGAATTCAGTTCAAAAATCACCACCTATCCCTGAAATCCTTCCTTCCCAAGTGTAAATACAAGCTAAAGCAAAAGACATTACATCTTCCGACTTCCTCTTTACAACATGAAACTGTGAAACACTGCTTTCCTGGAAACTAGTTCTTCTTGCTCTGCCTCATCCTCGGATATGTAGGATATGGAAAGATACAAATCATATAACTCGCTAGAGAGGTACGTTTTTTGGGGGGATTTTTTTTAAAGTTGCCAGGTCGTGTTAGATGGAATCCATCCCTGTCCATGCAGAGGTGGATGATGGATCATTTGCTGCGCCTCCCTTTGGTATAAAGCACTGCAGTCTGGCAGAAGTGCTATCTCTGCAGTTTATTGGCACCATATTACAAGATGTTTGGGTATTGAAGTTTAAATCGCTTCACTTTCTTAAAATACTCAATTTTCAGATTAGATGTTGCTAGAAAGAATCACAAGTCCCAAATAGCTGATATGTGTAGTCTACATGTTTAGAAAGCATCGCTGTGAAAAAATGTTCTTCAAAGGTCAAAGTGATTTTGACCATTGTGTCGATTCAACAGCTTTGCATCGCTTCCAGCTCCCCACTCAACTATGATACAGCGCAATGACGTTCCTACCATCTGTTCACTCTGACTCCCTCTCTTTCTAACTACCTCTCACCCTACCCGCCCTTTAGTACCACTGTCTTTGCCATTCATTCCACACAGACGTGACTGTAACAGACCGACATAAACAAACATGAAATGTAGCCGGGAGACGAGAGATTTTCTTAAAGTAAAACAAAAAAAAACCCACAAAGGAAAACAACTTTTTTTCTCCTATTGTTGTCACTGCTAATTCTTATCATGGACTGGACTGAAAGAAGTGTTTACTAGCAAACATAATTGCAAAAAGGGGGCTTAGGGGAAATGAGTACTGAAGGACCACAATCTGACTAATGCCTCTTGACAAAACAATTTGTTTTCCTCAACTCTCCATCTGCCAAAACAGTCAATTTCTTTCCTAGTCTGGTTCTAATTGATCCATGCCTGCTGTGCTGGTGTTTTGTAACTGGATCAGACGAGAAAAAATGAGCATGCTACTTATTTTAGAAACTTTTTAGAAATATATCTTGTTCCTCAAGATGTAGCAAGAAATTAATAAAAGCGGCGGAATTTGCTTTTGGGGCCTGCCCTCTATTACTAAGTCAATAAGCGTTCAATTACATCTTTTACTTAAAACACTCAGCTAAAATGCCACGCCAACATCTTCTTTCAAAGCTCGTCTTCATCTTTGCTCATCTGTTCCTCACATTAATCTGATGTTGTTTTTGAAATGACAGTCTTCTGGCTCAGAGGGAGGGATAATGATTCATCAAGTGGGCAGAAAAACAACAACCGCAGGAGAGTCATATGATGTAGGAAGACGGTGCCGGCGTAATGAGCTTCATACTTGGCCACACAGCACACAGACCTGTTACGGACAGCATGAAAAAACAGAAAGGCAATCAGTACCTTGTGTCGAAATCTCACGACTGGTCGATAGGGCGGTGACCCAAATCCCTCCTTGCTGGGTCTCCCGTTGGTGCCAAGCGCAGCGAGCCCCAACAGCAAAATCGCAGCAGACCACCATCTGGTCGTCTTCATTGGTCTTTTCCTGTCAAAAACCAAACAAGAATGGTGAATGCGTACTCTCCTCCAACACTCTGCAGGTTCAATACTGGTTGGCCAAGACAATACATCAAGCCCACAATAATTAGTGAAGACAATGAGAACCGCAAAACTGTCGCTGATTTAAACTAAAGCTATCAATACGTGGCCCACACTCGGCAGGGAGATTAGATCTCCTTTCAAATCAATTACGGGGAAATAGACGTCATGAGAAAATCAAGATAAAGAAGACAAAGAGCCAATATATTAAGGCAATTAAAGTGAGGGCTTTGGATTAATTAGGCTGAGTGTCTAAGTCAAGCAACTGTGATGAAGTGGAGAGATTACATCTTAAAACAGATTCCTCACAGCTTTGCACAGATGCAGCCCGGAAATATTTTTTTTTAAAAAGTGAGAATATTCACTTTTCACCTCCAATTTGACTGCATTTTCAATTATTCATTGGACTGTGTAAAAACAAGTTTGACCTTTGCATGACATGAATTAAACAAAATCACACTTGTGGAGGAAAGGAGGGGGGAAAAAGAAAAAACAAGCCCTGTGGAAATGTCTGTGTCAGTGAAACGGATAGGTTCGAGCAAGTAGCAAGGCACAGGACATCCCCAGAGAAGACGATACGTTAACCACTCCTCTTATACCGCCTTACACGCCTTACACGCTAAACAACTGTTATGTTGAAACCTGCAGTGCATTTGTTCCTTCATATTTTTATCCCTCATCTTTATCTGCATTTACACCCTCAGGTTTTTTTATGCACCTCACTGCAAAGATCTCCTCCATCAGAAGCACTTTATAAATAAATCTGACAAGACTTGACTTGTTTTTTTTCACAGTCAAACACTGAGCTGCACTTTCTAAGACATCCAAAACCATTCTCCAGTGAAGGGAGATGAGTGACAGCAGGATGGTGACCCTGCTTCCTTGTTCTTTGGGGCTGACACTAAGTCAGACAACAATGGTGCTGCTGTGGCAGCTCTGTGGGTCCACGCGCTTTTCACTGGAGGTCAACAGGTTGCACCAGCAGAGCAGTGTGTCACTGTGATGTGCCGGACAGAGAGGAGATACTGAAACTTTATTTTTGTGACTTTACATGTCTTCTAGAGCCTCCCTCTGTTGCCTGATGCCTGCAGGATTTCTGCTTTGAAATTACTTCCTTTTATTTCAAACCTACTTTTTTTTTGTCATGTGGAGGAGATATAAAGAACTTGGTCTTTTGGTGGAAAACACATTTAATTAAAAATATTTTCAACAGCTGTGTTGTATACTGTAATTCTCTGGCAGATTTTTCAGACTTTTTGTTTCATTGGCCTTTAGAAGAAAAAAAGATCAATGTTCTTTATCGAACTCTGAAACAGCCTTGAATCCTCCTACACAAATTACACTCATCGCCAGCGCCCCTACTAACCAATCCAGTTCTTTTCAAGGTTTGATATACACCTGCCCCCCACCCCACTCCCGCCCCAAACAGAGACTTGTCTAACTATAAACAAAAAACTTCTAGACAACATATTCGTATAATCCTGTATGTTAAAGCCTTGGTCTTTAGTGTGGCTACCTTGTGAACAAAGCTTAAGCCTCTGTAAATGAAATGTCGTGCCAGGTCTTCTACCTCAGTGTGTGTCAGTGCAGTAGTGAGGGACAGACATTCAAAGTGCCTCGATAATCGAGTAGGAGGTTTTGTTCGGAACAATGAGTCTAGAAATTCAAAAGATCTATGAACCTGAAAAATAATTGTTAAAATGTTGGTAATGATCAACAGCCTTACTAACCCCCTGCGGACATATTATGGTCCTTTTATGCTATAGGGCATTAATAGTCGCACTCACTTTTTTAATGCGATCATATTCATATTCATTCTCTGTGCGTCGTAACTCTCCAGATCCAGGTAGGAACCCTGCCTGCAGCAGCTGCTGCTCCACTTCTCCACTAACACAGTCTTTATGCCACACTAGGTGGATTACCATATTTGCTAGCACAATCAATCAACTTCTTTCCGGTATCCCAGTGTTAAATGGGTTATTAATGGACCAGCTTTTGCACAGTGCTGTGTCAGAGACAAAAACATATGCACAGTTTTAAGAAGTTTAACTGCACCATACAGCACAGTTCCTCAGAGACATTAAACTCATTATGATCAGTCACAACTGCGGCATAAGCAAGCACCTTTCCAGTCCTCCTTCTAGTGAATAATCAGTAATCTTTCTTGGAGCTCCAGACAGTTTTAAAACTGTGTTGTCCTATAATTCATTAAAATAACCTGATTTTCTTTTAAAGCCGCTATCACTACAATGAGTGCGTTGATTTGACCATTCACACACAAACAATAACAGCAGCTGAGCTATTAAACAAGTGGGGGAGCACATGTGTCCTTTTTTAAATTAATTTCAAAATAATGCAATTATAAGAACAATATATTCAGCTTCCAGTTCAGTTCAGCCTCCAGTGAGTACCAGACGAATGGGGTACACATCCATGCATTCATCCATCCAACCTGCAGTTGGCAATGTCCTTTTAATCCGTTCAGCTTTGGTGAGCTCGACATAGTGGCACACGAAGTGGTTCTCAACCTGCTGTGGGTTCTGCTTAGATTGGCCCTTCAAATTGCAGCAGCTCTCCAGAACAGAATAAGGACTACCACCATCAGTTCCACTCCAAACAGTAGTTGGAGCTTGCTCAAAGGAGGCATCTGAATAATACTGACCGACCTGGCCAACGAGCCAGGTGGTAAGAAAACCTTGAGCTTGAGGGAAAAGGGGATTGTCCACATACAAATAGATCGCAGACTCTGTAATTCTTTGGGGAAAATGAAAAATAAATTATGCAGCCTTTAATATACCTGGCCTGAGGGGAAAGAGTAACTAAGTATTCAGTATCTTGCCCACGAATGGACAGGAGGACCAGAGAGGAAAATATTATAACTCAAAGATGTTCAGTGTGCTAAAATTAAAAAAGCAGAACTTCCAAAACAGCCATAAGGTTGAACAAACTAACCTCTTAGAGAAATGAAAAAAAGGATATTGAATAATGGTTGCAGAGGGATGACTGGAACCTCAATTTAATAAGCAGAAGATGGATGGATGGATGGATGGATGGATGGATGGATGGATGGATGGATGGATGGATGAAGACAATGCCCTCAATGCAGGAAAATAGCTACTCCCTGCCTATATGCCTATAAGCAACAGTGCTCAACAAATGAGCCTTGAAGAAAGGAAAGTTCAAAGAAATTCTGAAGTATAAATCATTAATATCAGTTTAAAGATAAAATTACTAAAAACCTATTATATTCTTTATAATAAACTGATGAATTTCATTAATTTTCACTGTGTAATTTATATGTGCCTAAATTTTTCAGCTTACTCAACAATACATTAATGTGGGTTGGTCTTGGTTCAAAATGGGCCTCTGGGTGTAACGCTGCACGTAAAAATGATTGTCTGGATGTAGCTCGAGATAAAGCATCTTTATCACCTCACCTCACAGTTTCTGCATTTTCTTCTTAAAAACAAAACAAAAATCTGATTTAAGTTGGAGTAAATTAAATCTAAATTTTTCTAAATGGCAGGCATAATTATTTTTTTTGATGGAGGGCTAAAACATCTTTGGTATGTACCAATATGTTTTATGTGAAAAAAACCCAAAAAAAACAATTAAGAATAAATTAAGAATTTTAGCTCATTTTCAAAAATAAAAAAAATAAACAAATCTCAAAATATTTTTAGCAAAATCCCCCAAATATCTCAGGCACAGCAGGGCTGATCTACAACTGTAAGTCTTAGTATGTGAGGGAGAACATGCAATCTTGAGTAAATGCTGCACGTCTTATTTATTTCTCTTGAAAGCACAAGAGACAAAAACAGTCTCAATTCTTTTTCCCAGGATGCCCGAGATGTGGTTTTAAATCCCCTAGAGCACACCTAAGCTTTGGCATTGACTTTGAAATGAAGTCTACCTTTCTCCCACTATGTACACAATGAATCATGCCCTGCCAAGCTCACAGACACTTTCCATCTCATTCAGTAGATTTCTGCCATTCATGCACTGGGCAAGTTACCATAAGCGCCCATACAGCTCACCTTACAGATACTTGGCTCTATGTATGCATCACACTGACTGCACCACACTGGGCACTGGCTAGATTTTAATAATGCACATTTTGAAATTTACTGTCAACTGTCATGCATGTGTGGTAACCCATAACTCTGGAAAATAGGAATATATTATTAAAGCGTGCCATACATTTTCCTGACATTATGCATGGTTTCCCCCAAAAGACCTTTACTCAAAAACTCTCCCCATTATTATGAGTAATCTTGGACCAATTCTGACTTATTGCTGATAAGTCTTCAATTTACAGCTTTCTAATTACTGTCAGCTTGTCTCCAGTATAATTAAAGAAAGCCCTTGAGAAATGCAAAACTCTCAATATAGCTGAACATCTACTGTTACCATCCCCAACTTTCTTCTCTCACTGTTTTTAGTCAGACAGCGAAATATAAGCTGCAGTATAGCTCGTGTTACAAAACAAACAAAGAACACAAAGAACAACATAATGCAAAAGTTAAGAGTCTTTCAGTCTTTTGCAAAAGGGCACCAAACCCTGTAGCAGATTGTTTAAAATACTTTTGCACCAAAAGTCACAGCCAACGCTTCCTTCTAACATCTGTTTTGCCCTGCTAATTACAATTTCTTTTTCAATGTTTCTCAGAGCTGCTGAGATTTCTCTAAACCCACATAAAATAAGGTCTGGACCAGAATAACAACATAATGAAATACTATACACTTGGAGACGTTTTAGGCTCAAATCTCTGAACCAACAACCACGGACAATTTCATCTTTCATCCTTCAATGTAGATCTCCACTTTATCTTTTCAAGCTGTTGTAGCATCTCCCTCTGTATGAGCTGGGATTTGCTGAGCTCTTGTACTGATATATCAGCGAAATGGCTATAAAGATTGACCCGATATGTCTTTAACCCCATGTGC